AGTTATCCAGGTGTGAGATTACCTAGGTGTGAGATGTATCGCGGGTGTGAGATATAGCTAGGTGTGAGATGTACCTATTTGTGAGATGTATCCAGGTGTGAGGATGTACCTATTTGTGAGATGTACCCAGGTGTGAAGATCGTATCCAGGTGTGAAGATGTATTGCCAGGTTGATGATTATACCTAGATGCTGAGATGTAGCTAGTGTGAGATTGTAATCCCAGGTGTGAGAATATACCTATTTTGTGAAAGATTGTATCCAGGTGTGAGATATACCTATTTGTGAGATGTACCCAGGTGTGAGATGTACCCAGGTGTTGCAGATGTACCCAGGTGTGAGATGTACGCTATTTGTGAGATGTATGCAGGTGTGAGATGTACCTATTTGTGAGATGTATCCAGGTGTAGCAGACTGATACCTATTTGTTGAAGATGCTACCCAGGTGGTGAGATGTATCCAGGTGTTGAGAATGTACCTGAGGTGTAAGAGATGTAGTCAGTGTGGTGAGATATTACCTAGTGTGAGATGTACCTAAGATGTCGCGCCACGAGTAGAGTATCCAGGTGTGGAGATATACCTAGGTGTGAGATTGTACCTAGGTGTGAGATGTACCCAGGTGTGAGATGTACCCAGGTCTGTGAGATGTACCTATTGTGAGGACTGTAATCCAGCGTGTGAGTATGAGACTATACCTATTTGTGTGAAGATGTACCAGGTGTGAGATGTCCCCAGGGTTGAGATGTATCCACGGTGTGCAGATGTACATAGGTGTGAGATATACCTATTTGTGAGATGTACCAGCGTGGTGTGAGATGTTACCAAGGTGGGCGAGATGTACCTAGGTGTGAGATTGTATCCAGGCTGTAAGATGTATCCAGGTGTGAGATTGTACCTAGGTGTGAGGATGTATACCAGGTGTGAGATGTACCCAGGTGGTGAAGATGGTACGCTATTTGTGAGATGTTATCAGGTGTGAGATCTACCTCAAGGTGCTACATGTAACCCGAGGTGTTGAGAGAGTACCCCTATTTAATTCCCAGCGACCCTAAACATTTTATTGTCAATTTTCTTTAGTCAAACAAACAAAAAAAAAAATAATAAGAATATGTGACAGTTTCTGGCTTCCAAAAGCACAATACGCACATCCTTCGTACATGGTTCGTAAAATAAAGAAAATGTTCAAAAAATAAAAAATGTTTTCCCTAACCTACCTACCCTATTTTCTTTCGGCAATGTAACGGTAACCACACATATATTTTGTTTTGGCCTAATGTAAAAACTTTATTTAACCGGCGTACAATATTTAGGTACAGAACACAATAAAATGGCCGCGGACTAATCCTTCCACATGACCGTGCTCAACAGCAATGTATGAAGCAGTTAAATATTAAATAAATACACAACGCGTGGTGGTGTGAGACGCATGGGGGTGTGAGACGCGCGCGCAATTGGGAAATGTACGCAGTGGGTGGCGAGATGCGGAGAGGTGTGAGATGCGAGATGCGGAGAGGTGCTGAGATGCGAGATGCGGAGAGGTGTGAGAATGCGGAGAGTGTGGAGATGCGAGATGCCGGAAGAGGTGTGAGATGCGAATGCCGCGAGAGGTGTGAGTATGCGAGATGCGGAGAGGTGTGAGACTGCGAGTTCATGCGGAGAGGTGTGAGATGCTGAGCATGCGGAGACGTGTGAGATGTAAGACAAATGCGGAGAGGTGCGAGATGCGAGATGGCGAGAGAGGTGTGCAGATGTGGAGATGCGGGAAGAGGTGTGAGATGGTAGAATGGCGGAGACGTGTGACGATTGAGATGCTGAGACGGGTGACGATGCGAATGCGGAGAGGTGGGCGAATGTGAGATGTGGAAGAGGTGTGAGAGTGCGAGATGCGGAGACGTGTGAGTATGCGAGATGCGAGAGCTCTCTCTCTCTCTCTCTCTCTCTCTCTCTCTCTCTCTCTCTCTCTCTCTCTCTCTCTCTCACCTGTCGGAGCGCTTCTGCTTCTTAATGATGTCGCTCTGCTCGGTCATGAACAGCAGCCGCTTCGTCGTCAGCCGCTCCAGCTCCGTCTGCAGCTCCTGCAGCAGCAGGAAGTCCTCTCCTTCCTTCGCGAGCTGTATCTGACCCTTCACCTGCTCCTGCTTAACCGCCACCTTCTTTAACTCTGCATTAAGCTCGACCATCCGCTCCTGCGAGCACGCAAACATTACCTGTCACATCACAACGACGCTGTCAGGTATTAGCGCACCGAGAGAACACAGTGTTTGACATTAACGCTAGCTCGATAGCCCGGGGCTAGTGAAAGTTGTGTTCGGGCTACGAAATGGTCCCTCCCATCAATGCTAGCCCGACTTTTAGGGCGTTTGTGAAAATAAAAATGTGTCCGAATTTTTTTTTGTTAATCCATAATTTTCACTCCAGATAGACTCAGAATGCAGGGTTTGGCTTCCTCATTTTAAAAAATTTCTGGGGGGAAACCCACATACCCCCCTTCCGGAAGGAGGGGGCCGCTCCTACCCCCACGCGACTCGACCAGCCGCCTACGGCAGCTGGGCTAGTAGATAGAAAAGGGGTCTAGTAAATCGACAAATCTACTAGCCCCAAGGGCTAGTTACTATAAAAGTTAGTATCTAATCTTGCATGGAGACGGTCACGGGCGTAGAGGTTGACATTGGGGACGGGTAAAGATGTCACTCGCGTGGATCGCACAATATATGTATCGAACGTAGACATTTCATGCATTTCGCGTGAGTTAATTATCTGTTTAAATTGATTTTAATTCTGGCTTTTATCTTTGCCATCTGCCATCTCGGAGGTAGCAACGCGATCGCGTCAGTGTTTCGTCAGCAAACAGGAAAATTTTTACTTTATCGAGCCGCATCCGGCGTTACCTATGTCAAGCTAAAAACATCTTTCTCCATTTACAGTATGCAGTCTGCACTGACTACAACTTGCCTACTTATGATAAACAACTGATATAACTAAATATGAATCTTAATTTGAAGATCGTTATTACCTATACACAACGCTTAAACGACACAGACACAAAAGAGATATTTAATAAGACTGCGTCACGCTAGCAAATGTCGTTCAACTTTTCATCGCTTACTTCTCTCCTGAGTTTTTGCAGTTCTGCCTCCACTGTCTTCCTGTTGTTTTCCGAATCTCTTTTAAACATCGGATCCATCTTCGCCATCTTGTTAGGAGTTGCCCCCCCGTCGAAGTCCACCCCCCTGCTTGGCGCTCTGCTTGTATAAATGGAAACGGACCACATTGGAAAATTTTTATTGGCACCGCTGTAATGATTATAACAGTAATTATATTAGAGTCTATTGTTGTCACATTCATTAAACATTCTTGCATACAGTAGCATGGCTTTTGTCTGTTTTAAGAACTTACGTGCAGTGCCTTAAAATAACACTTTCAACTTCCCTAACAATGACACTGGTGTTTTGTGGTTTCTGGTTATCATCTTTTTTGTTGATATTAAAAACATTTAATCAACCAGTCTCTATGATTACTGTCTAATAAAGAATAATTTAACGAAACACGCGAAACGACAAGAAATGGATCTATATGTCAATCATAAAGCTAGTTGCCCCAATGTAATAATTACCTGGAATGTCCTTTGGAATAAATGTAGCCACTTTCTCTCACCACCTGCCTGGCTAATGGAAACAGGTCTTCTCTCCTTGTCAACAACACTGGAATGTTTTTGCAGATTTGTGCTGCCGCCTCATTTACTGAAACCTGAAAAATGTAAAACATACTGATAATGGCAGCCAGAGGAATAGCAATACGTATCGCATATATAAGGATGTATAATAATATAATTATAATATAATAATCCTTAATAGTAGGGAATTTTAAAAAGGATGACAACAGCAGCACGAATTAGAATATTAAAAATTAAAATAGACACGCTGCAAATTCCTGCTTTTGTTTTCTAATTACGATTCACGAAGAAACAATGAATCCTGTGCTATACCAGTGTATACCAACAGATATTCTAAACGGCCGGACACACTAGGCGATTTTAATGCGATCTAATCGGGCGACTTTATCGCCCGATAGTCGCCGGCGAATGAGTCGGGTGACTGAGAGCGGACACACTAGGCGAATATCAGCGCGATTCATCGGCGATTTTTCTCCCGCTGCAACACTAAAACACTCGCGCCACCTAGATTGATAGTCACATGATTGAAAATGGCACCGTTTGATTCGCTGATGAATTGTACAATCGGGCGACTCATTCGCCGACCCGGACACACTAGGCGATTAAGTCGCGCAACTGAAATAATCGCCCGATAATATCAAAACGTTTTGATCGATGCGATTGAATCCGGCGACTAAATCGGCGGCGACTGACTGGACACACTAGGCCAGTGGTTTCCAACCTTTTGGACTCCCCGTACCCCTAATTTTTTTACGCTATCTCCTGGTATTCCTTCGCCCACCATAAGCAAAATGAAGAACCAACACTGATGTATTAAGTCATGAATATTTTGACATCATGTTTATGTTTTATTAATGCAGTCGCACGGCGAATTTTTCCAATCAAGCGCACTGTGCATGCATGCCCTGAACGACAGACAGTTCAATGAAAAGACTGCTGCTGCATGGCAGAAACTAACTTTTTTTAAACCATGACTTGTTGGCACTGTCGATAGAGATGCCTGAATCACCCGCTGATTATTATATAGCACTACTTTTTTTAAATTGTCTAAGAGGCTTCCCAGTTACCCCCTGTGGTGTTCGCTGGTACCCCCATGGGGTACTAGTACCCCCGGTTGGGAACCAGAGCACTAGGCGATTTTCACCGCGATTGAGTCGCCCGACTGAGTCGCCCGATAAAATCGCCTAGTATGTCGGGCCCTTAAAGCAACTAATTTACAGTTACCATAGTATACAGTACATAGTATATACATACCGTATATGATCGCGTAATAACCGCAAATTTGGCCTCAGATTTCAACCCTGTATTTGCTCTGCGGTTTATAAGTGCGCCATACCGTGAGGGGAAATGAACTAGGCGCAATACTTGGTTACCCGATTCAAATTGAGGTGCGGCTTATAGGCGCCCGCGGTTATTACGCGATCATATACGGTAGTCTATTATCTACTTCGCTATTATCTACTCTTGATATACATAGTAGTGTAGTGTAGTATGTAGTATATAGTATTCAGTTGGAGTTTATAGTTTTTCAGTTAAGCGTACCATAAAGCACAACCAATCAAATTCCTAGTAAATTTGTATTCATATTTAGAAACCAGCGAACCAATATTTCTTAAATTTAGAAATTGACAGTGAGCCAATTTGTAGAATTTCAATAATTGAGTCATGTATTCTAGCTATATATATTCAGCGTGAGGATAGTCTAAAGGAAGATTAAACAAGCGCTCCTCACACATGTTATACATATATATCATCATATTACATATCTCACATATATTATACAGACACCCAGCTAAACCTGCAGCGAAAAGGCATGTTAGCTAGCCATGTGATAAAGCTTCAACAAACAAATATAAAAGAAACATCATGCACTTGTGAATTTCACATCAACCAGAACAACAATCTGCAGTACAAACTTGTACTGTATGAACCCAGGTCAAAGGCTCGGCTAACAAATTCTGGTTCAAAAACGTGTAATGTTTCATATACCACATGTAGCAACCAGTGTTACTTTTTCATAGATCGTAGTCTCGTAAATTCAAAACTAGTGCAATATGACTGTTCATGAGACGTTTTACGATAACAACAAACTGCACTTCTCGTGTGGTATTTTAAGCATACGTATATAATGTAGCTGGCTAGCGAATTATTGACAAATTCAGTGAGACATTCAAAACTTCAAAAGCATCATACAAGTCTAAAGTTCGTTCATAAAATCTGACATAAAAAGTTCACTTTTTACATTAATATCAACAAGTGTAAGAACTTTACATGGTTTAGCAAAGCTTTCACTAAATAGAACCCTACATTTAAAATTTAGTTTAGCTCACAGTTAGATTTTGGATGCAAAATTATATAACCTTCCCTTACTATAATATGCCACTCCCAATAAAATCATTGCTGAAAAATATTCTCGTAGGATCATGCTCTTGAAACGTGACCTTAGTGTAATAGTTATAGCCACCTAAAATGATTATATTTCGTTCTTCAACACAAAAAGCTGCTTTTACAATTCACTGCTGACACTGCTAAAACTACACCCCACATGCTCTATATCTATCGTAGTTGGGGTATAAAGGTAAAAAGCACCTTTAGCTGAAATGGTACATGAGCTCAACTCTACGGATGCATCCCTTCGAAAATAGCACCAGAGTAAAGAAATTCGGCAAAACCACATCAGGCAAAACACGCTACATACCTCGTGTGCAGTTAGAGGCTTTTCTGACTTTCTTTTGGCATCGAAACGTCCATATATTGCAGAGTACTTCCTTATTTCGTCCATGTAACATGGATCTTCTGGATTCATATTCAGTGCAATCTGAATCGATGATTAATGAAGACATTAAACAATGGAAATGCATTTACCAACATCGTCCCTTGTCTGCAGTTAATCCGTTTAAAATGTAATAGATTCGTACCATCATTACTGAGGCATATGAGGCACGATCACGTTCCCCACGTTCACTGCTAACACACCACTATAATAATTTCAGGATATTACGCTGAGAAAATCCTCAATGATGAGGGGTTGTAATTTCACATTCAAGGGCCCAATGTTTCGACGACAGAGCCTGATACCTTGAGGGCGTCCTATTTCTTTTGACATTCATTACAAATTTTTATTTTTTATTACTTTATTAAAAACTTTAAATAACCAATGCTATCGATTTCATTTTAATCTGTCGCAACACGAATGGCCGCGAAAGAGCAGCATTTACGTGAAGTGCTTGAATATCTTTCGGAGAGCGATCTTCACACTGCACCTACTTGAAGTGCTCACACCAAAGATAACGTCGAAGTGCCAACAGCGACATACCTCCAACTCCCGCGACATCTTCTTCTTTCCCGTCGGAAACTTTGGTTCGTACGTTGGCAGGTTTTTACACAGCTCCTCTGCCGCCTCGATGATCCTCTCTGCCTGGCCATCGGGCAGCGGCACTTGGAACGCGTCGGATAGCGTTGTCATGGCAGCGCCGCTGTTTATGTTGTAGTTGTGCAGCAGTAGCATGCCGCACATGCTGTCAGAGTCATTTATCTGCAGCATCACGTGACATCATCACTTTCTGTGTGATCGCATATAAGGAAGCCGCCTTACATCACGTGACATCATCACTTTCTGTGTCATCGCATATAAAGAAGCCGCCTTACATCACGTGACATCATCACTTTCTGTGTGATCGCATATGAAGAAGCCGCCTTACATCATGTGACATCATCACTTTCTGTGTGATCGCATATAAAGAAGCCGCCTTACATCACGTGACATCATCACTTTCTGTGTGATCGCACATAAAGAAGCCGCCTTACATCACGTGACATCATCACTTTCTGCGTCATCGCATATAAAGAAGCCGCCTTACATCACATGACATCATCACTTTCTGTGTGATCGCATATAAAGAAGCCGCCTTACATCACGTGACATCATCACTTTCTGTGTGATCGCATATAAGGAAGCCGCCTTACATCACGTGACATCATCACTTTCTGTGTCATCGCATATGAAGAAGCCACTCCAACCTTACTCGCTCCTTATCCTACTACTTACTCGCCTTAAAAATAAGTGTCGCGCTATAGCCTATTACATTATGATAAATGCAGCTCCCTTTGGCTACGTCTAACTCTTCTCAACATGAATTACATGCACAAGGATGCTAAAGATAACAGAAGCCAATTATCAACATAGACTCCAATCATTATAACATCAGAATCCAATCATATTATTTGCAAAAACGCGAGCATACTGGACTTGCCCCTCATCAGGAGCCGGTGTTTCCTGTCCTGCTACTTGTGGTGCGCTGTTGGGTCACCGACCAGCCGCTATGGGGCCCCGGCGTGGTGTTAGACGCAGCAGGAACCACACTGTTGTTATTCTGACCATAAACTAGTTTATCGCCACTTGGTATTTTGGCCAACGGCATCTTTGATGCTCGGCGCACTTTGGAGATGATGTTCCTTCTGAAACAGCCGCTTGCGAATTGGCGAATAACACAATTATATTCATTGTCGTTCCATTTCTGTTTGTCTAGTTCTCCCTCTCTTATCTCTCTCTCTCTCTCTCTCTCTCTCTCTCTCTCTCTCCTCTCTCTCTCTCTCTCTCTCTCTCTCTCTCTCTCTCTATCTATCTATCTGTCTCTCACTCTCTTTCTCTCTATCTCTCTCTCTAACCCTCTCTCTCACCCTCTCACCCTCTACTCTCTCTCTCTCTCTCTCTCTCTCTCTCTCTCTCTCTCTCTCTCTCTCTCTCTCTCTCTCTCTCTCTCTCTGATTAATTTTTCTCCTTATCCCATCTCCCTTTCTTCCCTCCTTTACTCCCTCCAATCTCCACCTTCCCACGACACTATCCTAGCACTTTTCTTATTAGCCACTTTATTTTATATTTTTGCAGTCTCATAGATACAGTACTGTAACGAAGCACGCACCAACACTATGAGCCTTTTATAGAACCATTATTCATAGAGAAATAAATTAATAGAAATCCCGATAAAAACACACAGTACTTATATATAGCCAGCTACTGTACTATCAAGGCCTTAATTTCCATGTGCTATTTATCATGTTTATTGAACGGCCAAAGCCATCAACAATAACTTCAACATCGTTCTGATTCACTCGTACAGAAACGTACGTATAACCGAAAAACCCAGCGTCACATAAAGACATTTTCCATTTCTTCTGCGAAAGAAGGAAGTCGTGCCTTCTTAGAAAGCAGGAAACGCACCTGTTTATGGTGAACGCACTACGCACGCAATCAAATTCAGTAACATCCACATCCAATGTACCCACAGCCAAACAAATTCATTTACGTTACATCCGACTGCGACCACGCACCGAGCCTTGTCAACCCTTTCGTCACACCTCTGCACCTTACGACGATAACCTTACCGCCATAACTTATACGACGACTGATATGTGAATCAGTCGTCGTAAGTTATGCGAAGTTGAAGTTGTCGATGTGAGTAGGTGTAGTTGCAACGAAGGGGTTGAGAAGACTCGCGTAATGTTGCGTGAATGAATTTGTTTAGCAGTGGGTACGTTTGATGTGGATATTACTAAATTTTACGGGTTCTTACCTGGGTTGTTCACCCACTCCTGCAGTGCTTTCTGCAGCCATCACACGTGAATGTGTGAGATAACAGGTTGTTCTTACCTGGGTTGTTCACCCTTGGTTGTTCACCCTTGGTTGTTCTTACCTGGGTTGTTCACCCACTCCTGCAGTGCTTTCTGCAGCCGTCACACGTGTATGTGTGAGATAACAGGTTGTTCTTACCTGGGTTGTTCACCCTTGGTTGTTCTTACCTGGGTTGTTCACCCACTCCTGCAGTGCTTTCTGCAGCACCGTCACAGTCGGTACTGTGTGACAAACAGGTTGTTTCGTTACCTGGGTTTTCACCCTTGGCGTTTTCTTACACTTGGGTGTCCACCCACTTTCCTGCCAGTCTTTGTCTGCACGCCATGCACACGCTGAATGGTGGGAGATAACAGGTTGGTCTTACTGGTGTTTGCATCGTTGGTTTGTTCTTACCGGGTTTCACCCTTTGGTTGGTGCTTACCTGGCGTTTGGGTTCACCACTCCTGCATGTGCTTCGCAGCCGTCACCACGTGTGTATGTGTGAGATTAACAGTTGTTCTTACTCTGGGTGCGTTCACCTTGCCGTTGTTCTTACTTGGGTTGTAACCCATTGGTGTCACCCCGTTGGTGTTCTTACCTGGGTTTGTTCAACCCTTGGGTGTTCACCTTGGTTTGATTCTTACTGGTTCGTTCACCCACTTCCTGCCAGTGTTTCTGCAGCGTCACACGTCGGTTATGTGTGAGATAACGGTTGCTTCTTAACCCTGAGGCTTGTTCACCTTGGTTGTTCTTAACTGCGGTTGTTCACCTTGGTTGTTTCACCCTTGGTTGTTCTTACCTTGGGGTTGTTTTGGCCCCCGCCACCCTTGGTTGTTCTTACCTGGGTTGTTTACCCTTGGTTGTTCTTACACTGAGCGTTGTCACCTTGGTTGTTCTACTACCTGGGTTGTCACCCACTTCCTGACAGTGCTTTCGGCAAGGCCGTCAACGTGAGGTGTGAGATAACGGGTTGTTCTTACCTGGGTTGTTCACCCTTGGTTGTTCTTACTTGGGTTGTTCACCCTTGGTTGTTCTTACCTGGGTTGTTCACCCTTGGTTGTTCTTACCTGGGTTGTTCACCCTTGGTTGTTCTTACCTGGGTTGTTCACCCTTGGTTGTTCTTACCTGGGTTGTTCACCCACTCCTGCAGTGCTTTCTGCAGCCGTCGCACGTGAAGGGGTTTGCTGGCCATTCCCACAAGCGCCATGATCTCAAGGAACTCCTCCTCGCCCGCCTCACACAATTGTTGAACATCGTCGCCACCTAGAACAACAAACGAGCCGACATTTATGGGAGAGCACAGTTTCTGCTAGGAGGATAAAAGCGTAAAATTCCATACCCAAAAATATTCCTAGGGTATTGTTATATTCTTGAACTAAGGCGAGTACTTCTTGGTACATATTTATTTCAGATGACTACACAAAACAGTACATCAACTCATCTTGGATACTCTGACGCAAAGCATCCTGGGAACAATATGACATCGCTTATATCCTAGTGTATTCTGGGTAATCAACAGCAAATAAGGTATGAATCCATGATACCCAAAAGTTATGAGTAAAAAATTACTTGTTTATGTATGTAAGCAATATATGGTATTTTTTAAAGAAATACGAACATTTATTCATCGTCGTTACATCTGAACATCGTTGCCACCTATGATAACGAACGACATTTATGGGGAGGAATTGTGTGTGGGGGGGGGTCCCTTCCTAGTGTCCCAGGCAGAAGAATGTGCCATTTCCCAGATCCTAGTCAGATAACACTTTTCAGAACTCTAGAAAAATGTTATTTGCAATAGCTAATGATTGCAAAAATTGATTAAAAATGATGAATAAGACTGATGAAAATGTCACCATGATGCATGCACGTTCACCAGACTGCATTGTCGCAATTTTGCAAGAAGTTGTGCTAGCTCTAACGCAACGAGACAACATAACCATAGTGTCACTCTTAAACGCCTACACGAACGTAAAGGGCACACGGAGGACATTCATTTAATGGATGTGCAACGCAAAGGCCATCACTAGCTATAAACTTGTTCTTACCAAGAAAGAACCAGCTGAGTGCAGTTGCGCGTGCACATGCAAGTACTCTTATTTCATTCCAGCCGAATCCTAAATGATGAGCATAAAATGTGTGGCTCTAGAATTACAGGAAATATACATCTACCACCATTGAAACATGTGACTGTATCCATTTGACCTTGGTTATAACTATAAGCAAGACACGTTCCACCTTCAAACATTGATAGAACACACATGAAATTTGTTTTCCTGGTTGGGGATACTGATCCGACAGTCCATGTGGCTAAGCCCATAAGGGAGCATAGAAATTTATTCTTATCAGTCTAGCTAAAGGGGTGGGGCAAGAGGTGACGAACAGATTGAAACCGATTAGTCCGACCGATAATCTTTCTCAAAGAAATATTCACACATTTATGAGGATACGCGTTAATCCAGGGAGTCTTGAATATTCATTTCCCCTCACGTTCAAACACTATGGCGTCTTAATTTCTTTAGATCTTGTCAAGAGTCCACAATAGAAAATGGAACTATTAATTTATCTATTATCGACTATTATGGACTCTTGATGTTGTACAACACTGGTTGATTCAGTCACCCGCACGCACAGGACGGCTGGGAAGAAAGGAACCCTATAATCTAAGCCGCCTGCAGTCAGTCCTCGCCACGAGACGGTAGCTGAAAATCCTCTTACACAATTGTTGAAACTTTAAATTCATAGAGAACTCTGGGCGTGCGCGCGCGCGTGATCACGAACGTGCGTTTGTACATCTCGCTCTCGGCAGCGCGCGTTGCGAGCTTTTTTCACCCCCGGAGTCCAACGTCCAAGGCGTACAGCGCGCGGCGGGTGTTTTTTCCACCCCACCCAGACAATACCGCAGACAAAAAAGTCAGACAAGTCTGCGAGAGCGAGCGAAACCAACTCCTGCTAGCTGCGTGCATGCATGCAGGCAGGCAGGCATCGCAGAAGCAGCCGACTGATATACCCCGCAGCATATATGCGTTGGGCGGGAAGCTCAAACCACTGCCAGCGCGCGAGGTCGCTATGGGTGGAGGGAGAGAGGGGTGGAGCGAGAGAGAGAGAGAGAGAGAGAGAGAGAGAGAGAGCCGACTGGGTTTCTTCTCGTTAGTCGGCGAATGCTCCCTCTCTCCCCGTCTCCCACAGACATGGATGAGCGCACACTCATGCCGCATCGATCCGCGTTGTGTGTGTGTGAGAGAGAGAGAGGCTGTGAATAAACTCCCCCACCCCCTCCCTCCCGCGGCCTCCGCCGCTGTTCCCAACGACCACGTTTCCGCAGCGTATGCAAATAGCAGCCAAACCTCCCCGGCTCACAAAAGAGGCCTTGCCCACCCTCTACGCCTCGTAATGATAGGCATTTCGGCAGCACCCTG